AAATGTAACAAACAAATTTTTTGTTTGTATGTGGTTTCATTTCTCCTTTCTTTTAGTCATGAAATTTGTTTGATACAGTAAATTTGAAACAGGATGAGAATGAGCTTTTTTTTTTTTTATGAAATTTCGATTACAATAATTAACTTTAACAAATATAATATTGCCTGTGGCTAGTATCCTAAGGGTTAAGCACCAAGGGCTGTAACATAAAAGGCTAAGACATAGTTTATGATCACTGAGTAAACAGATTTTTTTCAGACAAGAACAGTGCATGATTATATTTCTGAACTATAAACTTTACGATAATGCATAGTTTCTGTTTAAAAAGTCAGTGAAAATTGACACTCAAAATGTATCTTACATGTAAATAATGTATTTGGTTACGAAAAGTAAACTTTTCAAATATGGGGTACAAATATATATATATATATATATATATATATATATATATAAAATTATAATTATATATTAATATATTTCAGGTTTGGCTACAACTGCTTCAGAGAAGCACAAAAAACAGGATACTGTAGCTGTATCTGGAAAGGAAGACAGTTATGTGGATAGAAAAGAAGAAAAACATCTAAAAATTTACAAACTTGTTTGTGGAGGAGATCATACCTTTGTTTTGTGTACACCTTATGATGTAAGTAACCATTTTGGAATTCCTTTCTGTCTTTAATAGGACCAATGAAAGATCATTTCCATAATTAATATTACACTAATAGTATTTTAGAATTAATTTTCTCAATCAGTTCCAAATTTGGTATTGGAAATGAAAATTTGCAAGTACTTATCCTATACTATTACTAAATCATGAACCATGATAGCAGTTCGTAATAGGGATTGCCCAGAAATTTCATAAAAAGTCTGATAAAATATACAGGCAAAAAGCATCTTAAAAAGCAGACTTGTTCTTGAAACAACACTCAAGACCTATCTCAATGGCTAAGGCTGCTAAAATATTGATAATAGCAAAAAAAGTTGGTTTTCTGATTGTTAGACAAAATTCAAAATTCATCCATTTGTTCTTCATATTATTATTATTTATATTATTCTTGTTTCACGAGACTACAGAAAAAACGGCTATGAATATTTTATTCAAACCTGGGCAAACCTGCTAAAAAACTCCTGTGCAGGTGATAGGACTATTTTATGCTAATTCTTGAAAGAAAAGGAAAGATTTTACCAGTTTTTTCATGGCTACTCTTC